TTGGCCGCGCACCCCCAGGGGGCAGCGCTACGGGACCAACCAGGCAGTACCCCAACTGCTCTGTCCCAGGCGTCCCCAAGAGCAGCTGCTGGTCAGTTTCAGCAGCAGCTGAATGGGGGAAGCCTGTCCGGCTGCCCCAGCACTTCCGGGTTCCTGATGGTGCCGGACCATCAGGAGTCCCGGAGCATTGGATGCCCGACTAATGGAGTTTTACTGTACTGATTTCATGTTACAATAGCAAATGATTGGGGGATCCCCTTCTCCTCTGACAATGAACAATGGCCATAGCCACTCCCCTTTCAGACTGATTCATGATTCTTGGGGGTAATGACCTTCAGCTCTACAATGCATGCGTGAGTAGTGTTTAGAACAGAGGGGACCTAAGGTAGTATGTTAGATTGTGTTGGGCATAATATTCATGACAGTTGCAAGACAGTCTACTGGGTTATGGTTGCTGCCTGGTCCTTATTTCTCTCTCTGTGTGTGTGAGTGTCCGTGTATTTTCTTAAGTGACACTCATAGAGGATGCATTCCTTTTTGGGGTAGAGTCGCTTATATCCTGTCCAGAAGCTTTAGCAAAGCCTCTTCTTTATGGGTTGCAGGCTGGTGACTATAATTCACAAATTTTGATGCTGTTGGCCATGCCAGAATGGCCAAAACTCGAGAGAGAGCCAAGCCATGATTTCTTGAGAACAGTGCCTCAGCAGCCAGGTCTGATCCTTTGTTCCTCTTCTCACTGGGCTAAGTCTTCATTCCCACTGAGAGCTTTTGAATGCCCTACCTACTTCTGACAGAACTACCTAACGGTCTTCTTTTTTGATGCCCTCATTTCCAACACCAAGCCTTGGACTCTTCTACTATTCTGTGGGTCTGGAGGCTTTTTTCTATTGGACACACATAAGCTTCTCTCCCTTTGCATCTCTGATTTTGGAATAAAAAAAATCCCTGTTGCTTTTCCAGCAAGTGACTGCAAAAGTGTGTATTTTATAAAGGAGGACTTACATTTTCCATTTACATAAAAAGGTCTCAGGTGTCCTGTTCCTTCTTTCGCCCTGGGGTTCTCAGTGCAGATCAGTTTGATGATTTTGGTTTCTGTTAGTCCCCCTAGAGGTGTGTGGATGGCCTTGTGAGCAGCACCTCCTCCTCCATGCCACAGCAGGTTCATGTAACAGCATTATGTAATATGTCATTTCATTGGTAAGCAGAACAGCAGCTGAGAGGCTTAGAACCTGGTCTCCATGATTTAGGGCCTCTCTTAATTCCACAGTCATTAGGAAAACCACACACTTCCCTATGTGTAAGTTTCCCATTGTCGATTGGCTGCTGTTTACATCACACTAAAATTTATAAAATCCTGGATGTCACAACCGGAAATCCTCACTGGAAAATCAAGGTGTGAACCACTTGTGATTAGCACAGGGATCAGTTGTGGGCAGTGACTAATGCTCCGGGACTCTGAAAGACTATAGTTTGTTGACTAATGCAGGCAGGTGAAGGTAGGGCAGAAGAAGGTGAGAGATTAGGTGAGTCTAGGTGGGAGGGCTGGACGTGAGGACTGGAAAAGCTGTGGAAAGTCTCTTTGGTGAGTTAGAATAGGCACACCATGGGTATTAAGAATGTGTTCTACTGCCATCGATCGAGAAAGGAAGTAACAGTTGCTGTTGGGCCAGGGGACATGAAAGACTTGCCAGGCCCCCTGGCAAGGTTGGGGTGGGGGATCTGGTTCTGCTCCCGGGGAAGGGGAAGAGCCTCATGTGGAAGGGGAGGGAACAGCCAGTTTTCAGCGCTGCATGAAGCGTGCCTCAGTGGTCCCCCTCCCGATGCGCCAGCCAGCCCTGAGAGCCACCTGGAGCATACTGCACAACGCTCTGGATACTAAACTGCTCAAGATAGCTAAGACCAAAACAGACTATCTTCAAAAAGATCTCACCAAACTAAGTGATTGGGCAAATGACATTTAATGTTGATAAAAGTAATGCACATTGGAAAAAAAATAATCCCAACTATGCATACAATATAATGGGGACTAATTTAGCTATAAGTATTTAAGAGAGAGATTGGAGTCATTGTGGATAGTTCCCTGAAAACTTCCACTCAATGTGCAGTGGCATTTAACAAAGTAAACAAAATGTTACAGATCATTAAGAAGGGATAGAGTATAAAACAGATAATATCTTATTGCCTCTATATAATCCATGGTATGCCCAAATTTTGAGCAATGCGTACTGGTGTGGCCACCTATTCTCAAAAAAGATATATTGGCATTAGAAAAGGTCCAGAAAAAAGATTAGGGGTTTGGAATGGGTCTGAAGAAAATTAAAAAGACTTGGACTTTTCAGCTTGGAAAATAGGAGACCAAGGACGAATATAATAGAGATCTATAAAATCATGATGGGTGTGGAAAAAGTGAATAAGGAAAAGTTATTTACTTGTTCCCTTAACAAAAGAACTAAGGGTCACCAAATGAAATGAATAGGTAGCAGGTTTAAAACAAACAAAAGGAAGTTTTTCTTCACATAGCTCATGGTTGGCCTGTGGGACCCCTTGCCAGAGGAGGTTATGAAGACCAAGACTTTAACACAATTCAAGAAAGAATTAGATAAATTCATGGAGGTTAGGTCTATTAGCCAGGATGGGTTGGAACAGTGCCAGTAGCCTCTCTCTAGAAATGGGATGGCAGGAGAGGGATCATTTGATGATTACCTATTGTGTTCCCTCCCTCTGGGGCATCTAACACTGGCCACTGTCGGCAGACAGGATACTGGGCTAAATGGACCTTTGGTCTGACCCAGTGTGGCCATTCTTATGTTCTTATGTTTTCTCCTTCTATTTCTAATGCGGTTAGTAGGCTCTGAACATCCTGGAGTGGAAGCATCCAATGAGGTTTGTTCTACTCTTTAGTGTAGTGTACAGAGAGGAGAAAGGGCCACTAGAACTGACTGATAGGCTACTCCTCTAATGCTCTGGAGAAAGAGGTGTTCTGCGGTGACATCTTGAGCCCTCTGTAGAATAAAGATAATTCTCCTTTTATCATGTTTTGGCAAGGGGCATTATCTCCCCCTTATTACCTGCTATCTTCCTTACTTTCTTCACAAAACATCCAATCCAGACCTGATTCGCCAGAAAGATGACTTAGCATAGGTGAATAGGAAAAGATCATGCACTGTATTTTCACACCTTGCTTCCCAAACACCCGCTTGACTTCCCAGGGCACAACAGGCTTCCTTAATTGGCCCACCATCAAGTCCCCAGCCTGTGTCCTTAGCACGGTACTAAATACAGTTACAGTGTACAGATAGTCTAACCATGACACACTTTATAAACTGTTTTGGACATATAGCATTTACTTAACACTGAACTTTTATTCCTCTACTTTCAGGTGAGTTTTTCCATCACCCTTTCTTGGATGCAAGTGCCTCTATGAAAAAATGTAAGTGTTAATATTTTTATTAATATTTTGACATGCCGTGATTTATTTTCCTCTAACCAATATGCCCCAAAAGAGAGCTGTCTCCAAGTCTTTTTCATTATTTGAGCAATGACTTGGGCTTAACCACTAGATTAAATCCAAGATCTTTGGATTTTGCTACTGAAATGTATTTGAGTCTGCTGAATTATCTTCAAAAGCTGGATATCCTTTGTTTGTTTAAAGACCTGAAGTGGAAGCAAATCTAGCTTTTATGTATGCTTTCTTCTTGGAAAGACTGATCTTACAAATGCTTATAGATAAACAGGGTTATTTAGCATATTCCTCTCTCTCACCTACATGTATAAGACAATTGATAAGAGGGGATGGTGGCCAGGAAGTAAACTAATAGTATAATTGTGAAAATGCCCCAAGCTATATATCCATAACCCATTTGTTGGGTTACACTGAATAGCAGGTACTAGAGCAGTGCAGTTTTTTGGACCAACTCCAGGGTTTAACTCCAGATTCTTCCAAGATCTCTTGCTTTAGAGGGGTTTATTTTGGATACTTGTGACTGAAGCCAATTGAAAAGTGTTTTCCACTGGCACTTCTGTCCCCACTCCCATTTTTTTGTAATTTTTTTAATGTATTGCAATTTTCCAAACAGCTTTACTCATCACCTTTTAAATTAAAAGTAAGATTTGCTTTTCTCTGAATCACTATCATCGTATTGGGCAATTTTACCTCTGACCAAGATGTTTCCCCTTATGAGTTATACAGAGAGTGCACAATCATAGCTCTTACAGAAGAACTCTCATTAACCTTCTTCTTAAGGAGCAGTTTAAATATCGGAGCCCAGATTTTCAGCAGTGGCTGTCAATTTTGGGTGACCAACCTGAACTTTTTCAAAAGGGCTTGATTTTCAGAGACTGTGTGTGTGGCACTTTCTGAACATCAGTCCCTTTTAATTGGTCTCAAAGTACACACCCAAAAAATTAGGTCTCCAAAAGTGCTTGTTCCTCTTGACAATCTGAGGTAGTAGTTCTGGTTTATCCCTGAGACACCTAGTAAACACTCCCCCACCTTAACTGTGTGCTTAGGTCACAGTACCGCAGGGAGGAAAAGATTCTTCTGGTTTAGGGCCGCTAACAAGCCAGACCGGCCCCTACTTCCAGCTGCACCATTGCCACGTGGGGTGAGCCCTTCAAAGCGAGGCTGCCCTGCAGTTGGGAAAGGATTTTGCGTGCGTAAGGAAACTCCCAAGCCAGCCTGGCCCTCTGCACCAGCCACGCCACCATGGCAGGAGACGAACTCTTCAAAGCCTGACCATCCTACAGAAAGGGAAGGACTCTGTCTGCTTAGAGAAGCTCCCAAGCCAGCTCGTCCCTCATCACTAGCCTTACCACCACTCTGGGGGATGAGGCCTTCAGGGACTGACCTTCCCACAGGCGAACAACAGTTCTTGCAGCCCTGGCTTGCTCATGCTCTGGTCCATCTCTCATGTCCATCTGCATTGTCTCCATGGAGGACATGCCCTATACCACAGGGAACCCTATGCAAGCAGGAAAGGATTCTCCTTACTGGGCCTCCATTTCCAGCGTCACCCACACCCTCAGAGTATGGGAAGCAGGAGCACAGCCACAGCCAGGGGAGAGTTCTCCTGGCGCAGCCTTCACCTCCAGCTGCACTTAAGCTACCGCTGCAGGGACATGGCCCTGTGCCGGGGCCACCTTCATGGGCAGGGAAGGACCTTACCCAACTGAAGTTTCCCACCAGCCTGCCCCATCCCTACCACTTCATGTACATGTAAAGCCTGGAACAGGGAAAGACCGCTACTGCTTTACTCAAGGAGAGGGAAGAAATTCCTGTCGTCATCCTCAGAAATCTTGGACTGTTTGTCTTTTGTGGGAGGCCTGTTGTTTGGTTAGTTGTCTCTTGCAGCCTGTCCTGAAGGTCTGTTGACAGTTGCCTGTGGTGAATACACTCAATGGATGGAGGCCTTCAGGAGGTTGAGAAAACATCTGGGACATGTGGCTTGGACAGCTAAAAGCTGAGATGAGAGAGATTATCTATGGGAACTTGGGCCCTTTTCACACTTGCATAAGGGAGATAAGGCAGAAAGTAGGTGAGGAGCATGGAATATAATATCACTGTCACTTGAAGTCTTGTGTAAGGCATGCAGGACGTCTTCTGACTGGAGTGTCAGTTGTGATTCATGCAGATTAATGTGCAGTCTGTGCCCAGCATAGTTACACTTTGACTTCCTTAGGGATCAGGTCCCCTGACTTTGGGTGCAGAACATGGACCTGGTATAGTGATGTTATAAGGCCTCCTATTAATCCATCTAGCCATTCCACTTGACATTAGGGGATAGAGAGGATGGAGGTGGTAATGAGGTCTAGATAGCTGCATCTGACCTTAGAGAATATGTCATTCACAGAATGCATTCATTCTTGAGAATCCCCATGTCAGGAGCATAAAGGAAGTAGTTTTAGAGATTATCCCATTGCTTCTCTGATAGCAGGAGGAGGATTGGGTCTCTAGCATTTCTGTCTAAGAATTTAAGATGCCTGTATCCCAAGCCCTGCACTGACTTCCAGTTTGGTTCCAAGTAGCAATTATTGTTGCTAAATGTTTGCATTTAGGTATCCTGTAGAGGCCTCAGTTAAGATCACGGCCCTATCCTGGGATGCATCACGCTTACAGACATACACTTAGAAACAGTGCCTGACGGAAAGGGCTCACAGTTTACACAGCTAGTACAAAGGGTGGGAGAAGAAACAGGCCTGGGTAGGCAAGGTATTTACTCAGGATCATATAGCAGTCTGCAGTAGAGCTAGGAATGCAACCCAGGCCTCCACTGGTCTATCCTCTACAGTTCTGGGGTGCATTTCCCTCCTGCTCCATCTCCTCCATAGAGATATAAGAGCCCCAAGTGTGTTGACATTCAGCGCATGCTGCAAGAGCTGTCTGCTTGCCACTGGCTGTAGCCTACATGCTGGGTATGGGGCCTTGGGTTTTGTTTACTTGTATGGTCTTTTGTTATTTAACTTGTGAGTTATGACCTGCAATGAGAGATGTATCTTAGAAGTGTAACAATATCAATAAAATAATAAGAGACACCCTTCTATTGAGAGTGTCATTTCTCGTAGATAGGTGCTGTAGGACCTTGGATATGCATGTGAGATTGGTTACAGTGCGTCATAATCACCAACCGTGCAGAGGCAAAGCTGTTTGGCATTCTCACCTCAGTAAATACAATTGCTGTTAAGTGGAATGCATACTGCTCACCATATTTGGGGTTGGGAAGGAATTTTCTTCCAGGTCAGATTGTCAGAAACTCCAGGGACTTTTGTTTTCCTCTTTAAGATAGTGCATGGCTCACTTTCAGGTTTAAACTAGTGAATTTTCTGTAACTTGAAGTCTTTAAACCACGATGTGGTTTAAACTCTGTGGGTCAGAGGTTAAGGGTCTATTTCAGCAGTGGGCAGGTGAGGGTCTGTTTGCCTACAATACGCAGGAGGTCAGACTAGAGCCGCGGCACCCCCATTTCCTCCCACCCCCGAGAAGCCCTACTACATACCTCCAGTTAAAATTGAGGTAGTGCCGGCTTCCTGCAGGGTGGACAGAAGTCCTGCAGCAGCACACCACTTCCAGGGGCGCTGGCTGCTCCCCTCCCTCAGATCTGTGGTGTGCCGAAACTTGCAGGGGTGGGGGATCCCCAGAGGAGGCGCGCGCCAGAGCTTCCCTCCTCTGCGGGAAGGGGAGTCGGGCCCGGAGGAGGCACGTGCAGGGGCTTCCCTCCTCTGCAGGGACGGGGGGAGGGGCCTGGGAGGAGGCTGGTGCAGGGGACTCCCTGCCCCCACTGACCCCCTGTCTCCTGCTGCAGAACCCTGTCCCCTCCTCCCAGCACCCTGTCCCCTCTCTCCTGTTCCCTACTGGCACCCTGTCCCCTGCTGCAGAACCCTGCCCCCACCCCAGCACCGTGTCCCCTGCTCCCACTGTACCCTGACCCCTGCATTTGTTCTGCCTTTTTTTAGTGGAATATTCCACGAGGAATAAGGGGGATTCCAAAAGAAGGGGTTTTTCTAACATTTGGTCCAGTCTAGACAGGCCAAATGTTGGAAAAACGTCTTCCTACATAAGAATTGGGGGGAAAAGTGGCAGTGTAGAGTGCATAAAAGCTGGGGATAGCAAGTGATGGAGAGGAGGGCTGTGTCTAGATTGGCATGATTTTGTGCAAATACTTTTAACAGAAAAGTTTTTCCGTTACAAGTATTTGCACAAGAGAGCATCTATACTGGCATGTGCCTTTGAGCAAAAGATTTGCTTTTGTGCAAAAGCATCCGTGCTAGTGTAGACGCTCTCTTGAGCAAGAAAGTGCTGATGGCCATTTTAGCCATCGGGCTTTCTTGCACAAGTAATTAACGTGGCTGTCTACACTGGCCCTCTTGCACAAGAATACTTGCGCAAGAGGGCTTATCCCTGAGCGGGAGCGTTGGAGTATTTGCGCAAGAACCACTGATTTTGTACAGTACAAAGTCAGTGTTCTTGCGCAAATACTCGCGGACCAGCTGACCCCAACACTCCCCAGCCTGGAGCTCCCTCCCCAAGCCAGCATCCCCTTCTCCACCTCCTCCTGCATCCAGATTTCCTCCCAGAGCTTGCACCTCTCACCCCTTCCCACACCCAAATCCCTCATTCCCATCCCAAAGCCCACACATACTGTCTCAACCCAGTGAGGGTATGGTTAGACTGCAGGAGTTTTTCCAGGATTCCAGAGATATCCTGGAAAAACTCTTCCACGTCAAGGGATTTCATTTGTTCTTTTTTTAGTAGAAGAGCTAACATGCTCTTTCGGTAACCCCTATGTTCCTCGTTCCATGAGGAATAAGGGGAATTCCAAAAGAAGGGATTTTTCTGACATTTGGTCCAGTCTAGACGGCCAAATATTGGAAAAACTTCTTCCTACATAGGAATTGGGAAAAAAGTGGCAGTGTAGAGTGTATAAGGGCTGGGGATAGCAGGTGATGGAGAAGAGGAGAATAGAGAGGGCAGGGCTTCAAGGAAAGGGTAGGGTTTTGGGGGAAGCATGGAGTGGTAGATCTTTGATTGTTCTAAGATTTGAAAAGTGATCTTGGGTGTAAAAAGGTTGAAGACCAGTGGATTAGAGGATCGTAATGGTCTCTTCTGGCCTTAAAGTCTAGAGACTGTGATGTTAGCTCTTTGTTCCCATTTGTAATGACTAATTGGATCTCTCTTCGAAACTGCTTTGCAAGAGAGATACCAGCTGGCGTGAGAAATAGTCTGCATTCATTTGATACATAATACTAAGGAGATGGTTTCAACACATAGAACAATATGTTCTGTTTAGTATGCTTGACTTACCTCTATGATACTGACTTTCTGATCTTTCTGTAAATACTCACAAAGCAAAGACCAGCAAAATCATCTGTACACCTCATTAGGCATATTACAATAGCTAACTTTTCAAAGATTTAAAGGGGTATTTTTATTGAATTTTACCTTTTTCTTCTGTGCCTTGCAATCCCCAGAATACTGCCTCCTTAGAAATTGCTGAAACATTAGCAGTTTACAAAAACCAAGAAAGCTACAGATGTTTATAACATTCTATCCAGCTTCTTTATATGTTAAATGGTTGCCAGAAGGAGACTTTTGTACTACTTTTCAGCTGCAACTGACTTTTCAAGACAATTTATAAAGCCCATACTGAAATGAAATTTGAGCAGGCTGGTGAAGATTATGACAAGAGTTAATGCTTTTACCTTACATTGAAGCCTGGCAATTTTAGTATTTGGGGTATTCCTTCGTCCAACTTGGTCGAGAAAACATCATGTTCCAAAAAGTTTATTCCCTTAAAATTTTTAAACTTAGATTAAATACCTTGATAGGCAAAAATGCTTTGTGCATTTTTTTTCATGCAGTTCTGTATTGCTGTCATGCACCGGATTGTGGGTTTTTTTTTTTTTTTTTTTTATTAAGAGAGAGTCAAATATATAACTAATTCACAGAGAGTGAATATGACAGTTGTAAATGTCCAGATCTTGTGAGTTAGCCTTACAAACCTACAATGAAGTCAATCAGGTTGGAGGGGGAGGATGAAATAATGAAATAGCCGTCAAGGAAACTACATCCAAAGATGTGTTTAGTTTATGTAGTTTAACAGCTGTAATTTTTTTTTGAATTTAGCTACATAGTGGAAAACATTTTCTTCCTGCCCTTGGATTTATGGATTTATTTCTTCCCACCCTTACGTCTACTGCAAACAGACAAAAATAGAAAGAAAGGCCCCAGATTTATCTAAGAGTTTCCGAATACTAAAAATGATCATCCTAGGAAAAAAATAAACAGTAAAGCACATACCACAGTCAGTGTATAGTACGCAGTGCAGTGATTTTGCAAAATCTGCAAAATCTTGGTAGTGAAAGACCTCGGTGCAGTTACTTATCTGTTAGACCTCTGCTAAGAAATGGGGAGTGGTTCTGGTGCAGTTATTTGTACTTCCTGTAACAGTTCGCAGGTTAAAACTCGAAGACTTTTTCTGGCTTAATGTTTTCCTAGATCTTGAGAAGGGAGTTGGGATTGAATTACAATCTGTCTACATGTGGGAATCCCAGTCAATTCAAAGGAAGTGCTACATAGGATTCAGCTGTCCACATACATATGGGTTTCCTCAGACTGTTTGTGTTATTTCTTGAGTTTGGGTGCAAGTACCAGCTAGAAGATATGGGAGCTGAAAATGCATTCTCTGTATCTGATATTTAACTGAGCACCCTAAGCCTTTGGCATTCCTTCCACAATTTTCCATATTAGGGATACTTTTCTTTCTCATCAATGGCAGGCCAGTGTGTCATAACCAGATGGCTTGCTGGGTGTGCAGTCTCACCCACTCTCGGAATAGACACAGAAGTTACAGAAAAAGAAGCTTTCCTCCCACACAGATGGGCTTACCCATTAGAATTCTCCAACTTCGTTGCACTGCAGCCCCTTCTGACAATAAAAATTACTATATGACTTCAGGAGAGGAGTACCAAAGCTTGAGCCCAACCAAGTAGGGTGGCCAAAACTCACTCCCACCTGTCCTTGATGGGAGAGCCAGCCACAGATGAAGCCCTGGATAGAGCACCTGTAACCTGAACCTAGATACGCTGGACTGAAGATCCCGGGCTTCAGTTTTACCCTTAGATTGCAGGGCTGCAGGCTTTGACTATGAGCTCCAGCAAGTCTAATGCCAGCCCTACCGACCCCAATTAAAATGGGGTCATGACCCATTTTGGTGTCCCAACCCACCGTTCAAGAACCACTGCCTTAGAACTCTGAGGATGAATAGATACCAGCCTTGGGATTCCAAGACAAGGGACACATCTGTCTTCTCTCCACTGGCTCCTTTTAGTAGCCTCCCTTTATCACTGACTACTGAGGAAGCCTTCCCACCCTCCTTTGGGATACCCCCTTCAGCATGGGTAGTGGGTGAAAGCTCTGTTGGGGAAGGCAAGCCCGAGGCCTGCCCCTTCCACCTGAGGCCCTGCCCCTGGAAACTAGGTCCACCCAACTTCCATCCAAATGCTTCCTGGCCATGTGGAGAGCTGGGACTGCCATGCTACAGCCTTGGCCCCATTCCTCCCTAGCACCGCAGCACCAGCTCTCCCCAGTGGCAGCCCCAGCCTTTGGCGGTTGGGCATATAGGCAGTTTTAGGAAGGCTGTGCCTTCCCTGGCTTACATTATCAGCTGGCCATGTCCTTCACCTCTGGCTGTGTCACTCTTATGCTCCCTCCTAGGATGTAATTATGGAGCCACTTCTTACTGTTATAAACTGGGCAGAGGAGAGAAGGCAAGCTCCACATGCAGGCCAGAGTAAGGGGAGAAGTGTGTCATAGCATCATAGAAACATAGAGCTGGAAGAGACCTCAGAAGGCCATCAAGGCAAGGCAGGACCAATCCTAATTAAAGTGTATGTGGAAACAGTTTTAATTGCTGCCCTGTCCACAGCCCAAAGGATTCTGACCCAGCTCTTCCTTGTGGGTAGACCATCTCTCCATCTTCACACCCAATCACTGAACATCTTCCTCAGGGTTAAAGAATTAAGATGCATGTAGTTACCTGACTGATAAAATATTACAATGAAGGACTTTGTTTATACTAATAGTGTTAGCCATGAAACAGTTTTACTTTAAACAGAAAGTTTTTTTTCTCATTAACTATTTCTACAGTATTCACTGTGTACATGGAATCAGTACACTCAGTCCTGTGGATTAATAAAATTAAGCCAGGGCTGTTATTTTTTGACAGTGCAAGTGGGAGAGAAAAGAAGAGAAATTACTACTTTCTGGCTCATGTAAACCATTAAAATATCAAAACATCTCCCAGCTTACTGGGAAGGGTCTAACATAGAGCTGCCTAATATGGACATTCCAAACTCAGGATGCTGCTTACCCTGCAGTAGCACTATAATCTAGATAATTGATGTCAAATGGCTGTGTACAAGAATGTAGGAGAGGCAAGTTTTTCTCATTTAAACTGAACCAAATATTGGTTTTCCCTCTATTAAGTGGCATCATTTGGTATATGAGACCTGATGGGAAAGAAGACTAAAAAAGCCCTTTAAGTCATTGTGTTGTTGGCTAGTAAGAACGTTTGACAGTTTCTTTCTTTTCCCAGCTGCTTGTGTGCCAATGCCTTCTTATCCAAGCTCAGGCTCTGGTAGTTCCTCCAGCAGTTCTTCCACTTCCCACCTGGCCTCGCCTCCCGTAAGTACAACCTGCAGATGTACAGAGGTTTTCTTAACAGTCCTACCAGTACACTGGCTGTTTTTCCCTTTCTACTTTGCTGCCTCATTTGCTCATTTGAAATAAGGTCTTTGCTTTCATTGCCTAAAGTTACTGAAAATTGTAACACCTTAGTAATTCAGTCTGTGCCTGTTGCAAGCTCCTGTGTGGTAGAACCTGGGTTGGGGTCCTAAAATGACTTTCTCTCTCCACTAGGCGCACCCCAGTTTGTCTCCATTATGCAGAGCCTGAAGTGAGTGAAGCTTGCATTAATGACACCATCTAGTGTCTCTAGAGCTGCAAGACTCCTAAGAACCAGTACTAGTCATTAATTTACCATCTAGCACTAGTCTGGACAGGTTGACAGCACAATCCACCTTCTTTTGCAGGATGTGAACCTGCCCAGAAGCATGTTCACCAAAGCTGTCTGCTCAGCCCCAGACTTGCCACAGTCAGGTGGGCTCAGAAGAGTGGATCTGAACTTGTCTGCCTCCCCTCATTACTTAACCACTAAAACTTTCCTCTGAAGGGCTGAATATTAACTTGCCAGTAAAGTGACTTTCCCCCAGCTTACTGACTTGAAAGCTTGATTCCAGTGACTGTTGATGAAAGTGGCCTTTTGAACTTCTTTGGTCAGGGCAATAGTGGTGTGATGGGAATGAGAGAGGACAAAGGTGATGACTATTCTTTCTCTAGAGATGTTAAATTTAGTTTAATCAACTAATCAACTAGTTTAGTCAACTCATACACTTAAAAAGCAGAGGCACAGCTCTGATTCCCAGCTCTTGCCTAGTCCCGCTACCCTCCTGTCCCCCACAAAGATGATACTGGGAGGAACTGGCTTTTAAGCCAGCTCCCCCCAGCACTAGCTCCTGCTCCCTCCCTTGCTGAGTCCCCAGTGACCTTAGCCTCCCAGCGCTTCTTTGAAACACTGCAGGGAGCCCGGGATCAGTGATGGAGTCAGTTCCTTCTTTGAGGGACCAGGAGTCTGTCCATCAGGAAAGTCTAAGCAAAGAGTAGTGCCTACCTCAGAGAAATTGTTCCAGGGCACAGTGATGTACCAGTGCCATGTTTTAGCACTCAAAAGAAGTGCTCTTCTGACTTGGATTTCACTTTGAAAGATACTGTTGTTTTTCACTCCGTAAAGGAAGTATCCGAGTGAGTTGGCAGCCCACTCCCATCTATCAGTAAGAGTTTGGGCTGTATTAAAGCCTGTGTTTGTTTTCCTTGCTTTAACCAGTCCTTAGGAGAGATCCAGCAGCTGCGGAAGAAGTCTCTGGTGTCTCCTGCCCAGGACTCCCCTGGTTTTCTGCATGGGTCTAAGGACTCTGCTGAAAGTAGCAGTAAGAATTCCTCCTGTGACACAGATGACTTTGTTATGGTCCCAGCACAGTTGTCAGGTAAGCCAAGCTTTTTGTAGTGTATTTTCCATTTCTGGAAATCCAAAACACTGATAGATGTATGCATTTTGACTGTAAAGAGGGAATGTTTGGGTTCTCCAGACTGAGGAAACATCTAGCACACTGATTGAATTGTAGTACATTCTGTAACTAAATAGCTTCAAAGTAAGGACTTGAAAAGAAGGAATCTTTCAGGACTTGGACCTGAATTGAGCATGAGAACTGAAAAGCGAAGGGAGGAAGAAGCAATGTAGGCTTACAGATGAATGTAGTGCTTGCCCAGGAACTATTTTCATTCCATCCCATCTCAGGCCCTTTGTTTCACACAAGTGCCTTCAATAAATTCTTTCTTCACTTACTCAGAAAGTTGACCTTTTTAAAAATTCTGTCATAAATGTCTCTTATTCTCTGTGTGTGCTTACATACACTTGCTTCACAAATTGCATGTACATTGCAACGTGTTCATATAAACACATGGACATAAAAATAGGACTCTGATTCTGCAGTGGCATGCCTGTTCAGTAGAAGACTGAAGAAGCATGTGTTTCAGGTGCTTTACTGAATTGAACTTGCTCCTTCCCACTGATCTTGCTAACATTTGAACTTTTCTGTAGGTTTGGAAGGTGCGTGTTTGTGTGCATGTACTTAGAGTGTGAAAGAAGAACTCAACATTGCTTTTACTCTCTTTAGTAAAAGGAATATGCGCTGTGTAGTACCGTCTGACACTGAACCACATTTCCAGCATTTTAATTATTTGGCAGGGATGAGCTTTTCTGTGTATCCAACTGCTACTCCACATGGTCAGATAGGAATTTTGCTACTTGGAGTATAGATGTGTTGGAGCCCTACATGCAAAACATGTCACTGTGTTTGCAAAGCAGATAACGGCTTGCACCAAAGGACACATGCTAATGCTTCAAAACACCTCTGTCACGTCTCTGCCCCTTTCCAAAAATACCTCCTGTCAAACCAAATCCTTCAAAGCCTCAGGCCACGGGGATCAGAATAAAACCAGATGCTGACTTCAGTGACTCAGCAAAACAGAGCCTTTAAAGGCTGCTCAGTAATCAAGTTTCTCTCAGTCTTGGAGAAACAGAACATTAAAATCAGTCATTCTGAACATCTAAAAGCTTTTAAGGATATGACCCAAACCTAATGCATTTCTTCACTTTCTTGGCACAGGTGATATAACTGCTGAGGCAGCAGGAGGGAAACCCATCCAGGACAGCCTCATGTACAGCGAGTAAGAGTATTAGCCTGTTAACAATTAGAACGGTTACCCTCTGGAATAGATTCAGCATTTAACTCAACTGAGTTTGAGAAAGATTTTGCTTAATTAACTCTATATTTGAGACCCTATGTTTGCTTCAGTGACACATCTGTCAGTGACCTAGTTGTAACTTATCCTGTTTCATAAGGAACAATGTGAAGATACCACGTATGCAGCAGCCTGGAACCATGTTATAATAGGACTCAGGGTGCCAACAGCCTTGCTGGGTCCCTAGGTAATGTAAAGAGGGGCAGGGACTAAGGTGTCCCCCAGCCCATCAGAGGCTTCCAGACTGGGTCACTTAGCACTGCAGTGGCTATTTAAAGGACCTAAAGCTCTGGTCACTGCTGCTGCCATAGCAGCAGTGGTGACAGTCAGGAGCTCTGGGCCCTTTTAATTGCTGAGCCCTGGGGCAGTTGTCCCCTTTGCTCCCGTCCCCCACATTGGCCTGAATGGGATCCCCAGATATGGGCTGTATTTTTAGCATTGAGAAATCCTTATAATTTTCTTGGCATGTTGGATGAGGACTTTTAGTGACTCGCAGCGATAAAGCAGGGAGGCCAGGGAACTGCTCTCTGATTCCATTCCCAGTGACATACCAGTTTTCATTGGAAGAGGTTTGGGTTGGAACCCAGCCCAACTTGCTGGCAAGCTGTTTTTCCATCAGTCAGGCAAAGTTCCCAAGTCCTTCTCTGTTACCCATATGCAAAGCCTCACTGTAGACTTGCTGTAGCACTAGAATCCATCATGAAGTCAGTAATAGGAACCCTGACCCTTCCCTTCTGTACTCTGCCAGGGAGGAAAAAAAAACTTTCTAGAGAAACCAGGAAGGGAGGGAAAAGTCTTTATCTTAAGAAAACTGGAGGTGACTTGTCCACAGTCCCACAGCCTTGACTTGTGAAGGCAGTGTAGTGTCCTATTTCCTCTGCAGGCCTGTGAGCCAGGAAAGCTGTGTAGTCTTTTGAACTTTGCCACTGACTCATTAGGTGATCTTGAGCAAATCCCTTAGCTTCCCAGTGTCTGGGTTATACCTGCTGTAATGTGGAGGAGTGCTGGGGAGGACATCTTTGAGAACCTTGTATGAAAAGAGGTGCACAAGAGATAAAGGCTGAGGCTACATCTACATTGGCATGATCTTGTGCAAATACTCTTTAAGGCAAGAGTTCTACACTGGCATGTGCCTTTGTGCAAGAGCCTCCGTGCCAGTGTAAACGCTCTCTTGCGCAAGAAAGCTCTGATGGCCATTTTAGCCATCAGGCTTTCTTGCGCAAGAAATTCATGTTGCCTGTCTACACTGGCCTCTTGCGCAAGAACAGTTGCACAAGAAGACTTATTCCTGAGCGGGAGCATCATAGTTCTTGCACAAGAAGCACTGATTTCACACATTAGAATGTCAGTGTTCTTGCGCAAGAACTCCCTACCAGGGAAGACAGGCAGCATGTTTTTTCACAAAATCATGCCAATGTAGACACAGCCTGACAGTTTATTACTAGAATAGTGAATAATGCAGTATGTTTGCAGCAGCTGTTGTCATTACTATCTGTTATTGATTTAATCTAACATCCATCTACTGTCACCAAAATTCACTGCTTTCCCAATAATTGGGTTGAAATTTCTTGGTGTTTATTGGAACAGAGCTGAGGGAGAAAGAAGAGTATTTAAAACCAGCCTCCAATTCTTCTTTTAAAAAAAAAAAGATTCTGAGGCCCCAGTTCTCATTTAACTTGAGGCCCTTTTGAACTGAGCAGAAATTACATGTACACCCCTATTAAGGATCTCTTGCAAGAGCAGAAAAGTGGTGGGTGGATGAGTTGTTTCTCCAGGCAGTGCAGAGTTCAGTTAACTTACATTCAGTTATGCATGAAAATAGCATGAAATCTTGCGGGCGGGGTGTAGAGCTGGGGGAGCTATAAGGGGCAGGAAAGCACAGTTGCCTCCTAGGCGCCAACTAAATGGTTTCTATTTGTCTTCTCCAGGAGCTCACTGGTAACTTCAGCAGCTGTGGAAAGCCGGGGAAGAACACCCTCTCCTTCACCCCCTTACAGCACTTCTCCCAGCCCGGCAAGGTCAGAAGGAAGATGGTGAGATTATTAATTCCAAATTAGGCCTTGATCTAACTCAGTGGTGGGCAGCCTGTGGCCCAAGAGCTGCATGAGGCCCATTGGGGTTATATTTATAAACATTTTGTTTGCTGTTGCCCACATTCCATGGGTTTCAATCTGTGTCATTTTTTCCCTTTTGGTATTACTGAAGTGACACCCACATAAAGCAGGGGCCTGTGAAGTGAGGTACATGCTGAATGCACACATTGACAGAGCCCAGTGCTCCCTCTGCATACCATCAAAGCACAGTTATGGTTCAGTCAGCACTCCCTGCAAATTCTAGGTACGCAAGCACAAGTAGCAAAACTACCCTATGCTGGGAGACCATCTTTTTACAATAATCTTGCAACTCACTGAGGTGAAGGAGGGCCACTCATGCAGCCCTCAACCTATGGGTTGCCCATCACTGAGCTAACTCCCACTGAAATAAAGGAATCTTTTCACCAATGTTAATTTGGAGGTGGGGGTCAGAAACTCACAGTCAAGCTTGGCCTTGAATTAAAGGGCAACACTTACAGCGATTTTTTAAAAAAATAATGAGTCCTGGGTGTGGAGTCTGAACTCCTCAAAGGCATTCCCTCCTCCCCAGAAAGGCGAGGGGAAAAGGAAGCTGAACTGGATTTAACCTTCATTCTGGAGGTCAGCATGTGACCTTAGCTCCCATCCAGAACATTAGTAATACAACAAAAGCATGAGTCTGAGTGCAAGCTTTAACCCATTGGTGAAAGTTCCCCTCGTGGGTCCAGTCCACAGAGCGTACAAGTGTTGCAGCTAGAGAAGTAGGCTTTTTAGCTCAGGCTGTTGTCACTCAGGGTATGTCTACACTACCCCGCTAGTTCGAACTAGGGGGGTAATGTATGCATACCGAACTTGCTAATGAAGCCCGGGATTTGAATTTCCCGGG